TGTTTTACTCATCACCTCACATGAACATGAACGTGAACTTCGTAACAGCTTAACTCATAACATATTCCTTAAAGAACTTCAGCTAAGTCTTTTAATTTGATACATATTTGTTGATGTGTCAATAGTGATATAGGTACTTGGATGAACTGCTGAAGGATATGCGTATGTTATGCTCAATAGAAGTGAATCATGCGAGTGGATTCCGTCATGCACAAGCGTTATTAGCTGCTGAAATTGAACGCGTTTGGAATACTATTTATGTGGTTAATCTCAACACATCACAGACATCTATCGTAACTCAAGTTTGTTTCGCACTGAAACGTTAACCAAATTCATCAGCTCACGACTGCTCTATAAAAACACTCATATGATATGGAGATCGCTATCACTTCAGCTATATCGCTATCACTTCATCTGTATACTCTCATAAGATTGAGATGCGCCAGCTTGACTAGAAACTTGCGTGGATTTTCAGGTCCATGAAGCATCTCAATCAGACGGCAATATTGTAACACTGCAAAGAAAAATTCCAATCCCACGCCGTCCAGGATGCAAATACGTTGGGCGCATTCTTGGACCACGAGGTATTTCTATAAGACAACTCGAAGCTGACACAGATTGTCGTATTCTGATAAGAGGTAAAGGATCGGTCAAAGTAAGTTGCAATGTTTTATTCGTTGCTGAACAGGTAATATGACTAAGTATGTAATGATGGATAATTTTGCAGGATTCGAGAAGAGAAGCACGTCTGAAGAATAAAGCAGGATGGGAGCATTTATCGGAGCCATTGCATGTGCTCATAACGGCAAATGAAATAAACGAATCACGTTGTGCAGTCAAATTAGAACGTGCCGCCGATATGATCGAACAACTGCTAGCCACTGATAACGACGAATACAAACGTCTGCAACTCGTTCAATTGGCAATTATCAACGGTACCTATCGACCCGGAGGAACGCAACGAAGAACCTGAAACAGAAAAACTATCATTCAATAAAATATAATACAAACTCATTCAATAACAGCAATGAGGTCAAAAACAGCATTGCTACCTCTCATTAAATCTGTTTCATAGACCTTACACATTTCATTTTTTNACTTACAAAAAGCTAATTGTAAGCTAAAAATTTTATAAGAGTGTGTTAGGGTCAGAGGAGGCCTCCAAAACACCTCAGTAGTCTCAGACTTTGGCTGATACCTTCCTCTGACCGTTTGTACAGCAACGCTGACTGAATCGTCTTCTGCTGGAAAAAAATAGCATGTAAACTTTTGAATTATTGTCCTATTTAGTAAATTTGTTTAGCAGGCTATTGTTGATATGATGATGTATTATCAGCGTGAAGTTACTAATATGGACGCATACAAAAATGACTTGAAACGTTACACTGTCATTCTTGAGTAATTTCTCATTGATGATCGCTTCGTTCCGCACATACACATTATTATCCTTTTTGCATACAGACACAAAAACTACACCACACAAATCCAAACTGAATATCAACGAGGTGTGATTTCCAATGAATCTTTTAATTCGCAAAATTCACCGAAAGGTTGATTTATTTTTTATGCACACAAATAAACACAAATATACCATACAAAATACACATTCGAATAAACTATGAGGTTTCAAATCCACTAATTTGATTTGATTTGTTGCAAATTAGTTCTGATGTGACACACGCAACCACCAAAACGGCACCACCATAAATTTATCTCTGAAATGCGAATCGCATTTTTGACACATCAGAACGACAGCAAGTAGGCCATTACCGAATCCATTTTTAAACAAAACCCTTCCAGTGCAACGCACCATTCACTCATCTCGCACATCACTCTTTCGTGTTGCTCTTTCTTGTCGTCGTCGTCGTCGTCTATTTGAACGGTGACTGACTGTAATCACGTTCGTCTTTGGTGACTCGTTCGAATGTTTATCACAAATGCCCGTTTCATGATGCTATCAGACATTATCCGATGATTTTTTGCATTTCACAATCATCGCATACTTTCGATATTCACA